TCCAGTTCTGGACCCCTTGTATGCGTTTTAATGGTGAGTCATTTTCCTTTAAGCGAAGTGGATCCAGACATATATCCTGTGTCACTTAACTGTTCAGTACACAGATTTCCTGTAAATCTCAGCTACTTGGATCACATTCTTTGTCAGTGAAGGAATAAGAATTTCAAGTAAGATGTATTGATATCTGCATGCTGGTGGGATTTTATTTAGGAGATCACAGATGGCCTTCAGCTTTGATGATCAAATTTAACCCATGACTCTAAAATTTAAAATGAGAAATACCTTCCTCTTCCGCTCCTCAACCAGCTTCAAGTTTTTTAAGTGAATTGGCCTCTATATTCCTCATGCCTCTCTTATAGCTACTACACTACCTATAGGTGTAAGTTTAGGGGTGTGTGAGAGACTTTGCAGGATTGAAGGCAGGTTGATGAATAGCAAGGAGAGATTTCCCTTCTAAAAGAATAAGCCTGTGGCATTTATTCTGAAGTCAGTGGAATTTATTCTGAGGTCAATCGCTGATTCATGTTCATGTCTGTCTTTCAATCCTGGTAAGTGTCACAGATGTCTGAACCTGGACCAAGTGCTTTCTGGGGAGGATGGCATGGTAGGCTGGTTTTCCAACCGTCGGAATGACCCTCAGAAGTGGTCTGGTTTTCTAAAGTTGCTGAATTCTTGTGCAGAATTCAACCCTTGCACAATTTAATCTTGGTTCTGTACAGTTTGTAATCAGGGTCTGGGTCTCTGCTGGTGGGGTATGTGGGTGTTGAGAGCTCAGCTGTACCTGTGATTGCTGCTGCTGTGGTTCCTGGATTCACACATCAATGAAATCTGAACACAGTCTCTGATAGCAGTTGTTCTCAATCTATAGGAAAAGCAAATGCTGAGACTGAACTACTTAACCTGAAACTGCTTTTTCTTCTAGGGAAAATGCTGCACAAGATTAAAAACCTTGTCACTGAGGAGCCAAAGCATTGGCTGGATGTTATTGCTATCTGGAGAAAACTTCATGTGTATGAGCGGGAAAAAGATGCTGTCTCTCAAGAAAACCCATTGCCTCTCAAAAGGAAATCAGAAGAAGAGACAAATATTGCAACTAAAAGACAGAAAACGGAACAAGCGAGAGGGACTGTGTCTGAGGAATGTCAGGTGGAAGCCAGAGACACATGTGTGGGAGCAGAGAGAAAGAGCAATCGGGACTGCTGGACTGAAAGCAAGACTTCCTTGGAAGACCCTTCCAGAAGCAGTGGAGAGAAGCCTATTGCAAATGAGCAGCTTAGCTTCAGTTTCAGAGTTTCTTGTCGTTGCAGTGGAGCAATTGCCAAAATACTTACTTCGCAGGTATGCTGAAGTATCTCTGTTTTAAAAGGATTTAGCAAAGATGAAGGGGGATGTGTAGTTTAATTTGTCATTTCAATTGTGTGTTATATGTTTTACATAACAAATAATAATAACAAACTGATCTAAGCTTTTTCTATATTTTTCTCAAAAAAGACCTTAACCTGCATTTACCTTAAAGAAGTGGAAATGCAAGGGCTGTTTTTGATTTCTGGGCACTGTTAACCCTGAATATCTTTCAAATCAATGCCTTTTAGTGAGGATAAGTAAAGGTTAGAGGTTGAGGTACCTGGGCTTGTGGAGTCTGAGGAATGATCTGATAGTAGTTTACAGCTACTTGAAGGGCCATTGCAAGGACAGTGGAGCCAGACTCTTCTCAATTGTGGCACTGTAGGAGAAGGGGCAAAAGCCAGAACTTGGCAGCTTTGGTGGGCTCTGCTTGGGTGTAGGGGAGGACTTGTTCCCCAGGAGGGTGGTGCAGCCCTGGGAAGTGTCCTGGGGCTTAGATCTTGGTCCCTGGGAGAGAGTAGTTGTGTATAGACCTCCAGCGGCCCCTTCCATGCAGTACTCTTCCCACCTATAATATCTTTCTACTGTAAGGAATATTAAAAAAAAAAAAAAAGGCAAAACAACTCTGTATAGCTGCAATTTGGAATTTCTGTAGAGTTCTCTCACATGAAGATAACAGTAGTTTAACTAGATTTTTTTTCCTCCCCACTAAAACTAGTGCCTTGGGAAGGTGGGACATGTAAGCCTGCTAACATGAATGTTTGCTTAAATTTGTGCCCTGCATTTTAACCCTCATACTCTGAAGGTAGAGCTTTCTAGATGCCATAAAAGCATTAAAATTCTGAGTTGCAGTTGTGCATTCACAGTTTTTCTTTTGGGTAATCTGGCTTAGAGCCATTGGAAATATTTTGTGCATGATTCTAAAACAATGACAACTTTTGTCATACCTTGGGCAGGATTTGAACTTCAGCCTCCCGCACTCCAGCTGAGTGATGGTTATTTTGTCTTGCAGTGTGTTTGCTCTGCCCCTCACTCGTTCGCTGTGCCCTGTTGTACCTCTACTGATCTTTGTACAAATTGTTCTCCTAGGGAAAG